GAAGAGTAAAAGTGAGAAGACTCGAGGGCTGAGCTAAAGGCACTTTAAAAGGGAAAGCAAAAGCCATCCGTGCAAGCAAAGCAAACCAAGGGATTCATTCCCTGCTTCCCCTCAGCCCGCGGGTGCTCAGCCATCCCCAGGAAAGCTCCATCATGCGTAACAGTGACTTGGGCAACCCTCCCAACTCCCACATGCATCTGGTCCCTGATACACCAAAACACACATTTATTAAGCAAAGGAACACCCTGAGCCAAGCTACGCGTTCACTACAGACTGATTTCCAACCGGTAACAGGCACTAACCACCGTGCAGAGCAGAGTATGACAGAGAGATGGCACACGAGGAGCATCATGCAGCCATGGGTGTAATGTTAACAAGTTACAGAGCAATCAAGTTCCCTTTTCATTTTCCAGTGTTCCTGGGGGCAGGGGGTCTGTCGGGCCTTTGGAAAGCATCCCAGCTCCAGGAACTGCACACATGTGAGCTGCACACCTCAGAGCTGTCGCCTCCAAGGCTGCACCGAACTTTAGGATGACAGCAGCACAAAAAAAAAAGTGGAGAAAACCTTAAAATACAGGTATTTCATGTCCCAGGTGTAGAACAACACGACGAATCATTTTAGTGCAGAGCGATGAAATCACAGCATCTCCAACCCAAACTTTGCAATCGAGCTTAGGCTCCAGTATTTTCTGCCTTGGAACTACCCAGAATATGCAGCCTCGGGTGGTCACACTCCAACTGCTGCAGTCAAAATGTCATCAACAGACTTCCACACTGCAGGTACCAGAAAAGTCTTTTGCCAGACGTGAACGAGCATCCAATAATCCAACGCAGATGTGCAAAAAAGAAACTCAGAGTGGAAGAGTCATTTTTCTAATTTAATAGAAATAACCAAAACAAAATGGTTTTCAAACAATGCTTTAAACCGATCTAATACAACGTCTACAGCACATTCCAGAGCACTTAACAGGAAATATTTACAGGCAGCTAATTAGTATTAAATAACCATGTAAAGAAAAACTTGTTTATTACACACCAGCAAAAACCACAAGAACAGAACAATTAGAAACGGTAACCTTGCTAAAAAAAAAGTTAAATATGATTATTCAGATAATACAATACCACAGAAACAGCACTTTTTTTGAAGAATCATTAAAAGATGAGCAAATTTTACTGTGTGCAAAAAAGAGCCAGGTCAGTTACTGGAAGCAAGAAATAAACGAAGAATGTCATGAATTTAACCCTTCCATAAGCACGTTCACATGTAAAACAGGCATTCAACCACACAAATCTTTATAAGCTTATATACATGTTTCCTGGTGTTCTGACCCTAACAAATACCCCATTCGCAGGCTGCAGCAGACACGTGCTTCTTTTGAAATGCAGCTCACTTGAGAGTGAACGCTGCAGCAAGTCAAACTTATAAAATGGTTTAGTACCTCTCCTTGTAGAAATTCAGTAAATTCCAAAGCAAGCAGCCTTCGGCTGCAAGATCACTTGATAGGAAAGGCCCAAACTGCATTTCATACATTTAATAGTTCACCTATAACAAAGATACCCAAATTAACTGCAACTTCTGAAAACCAACTCAATTCAGGTACATTAGAAAGCATATAAAGTAGGATCCCCATACGCAAACACAAGAACCAGGTGGAAGAGTTGCTGTACACACACTTTGAGAAAATAAATCGCCATATCGAAGATACAATGCATATGTTCAATCTGAAATATGTCTATGTAAACTGTGGCATATAAATTTTTTTTTAAAAAAGTACCTCCATTATTTACTCAAACACCTACTTTTTAAAAAAATATGTAACTTTCCCCAATTTTTAAAATAAAATGCCACACTATATTGTCAATAACTCCTGCACACTTTGTTTTTAAAAGCTAGACTTGGTGATATGCATATAAACTTTCCTATAAAATCACTATCCAAAGGAAAGGACTCCTGTCGTACTAGTAGGCAACAGACAAAGCAGTTTTATTGCTTTTTCCAAGGAAGAGAGTAAGAAAAGCAAGAAAAAGCCAACTTCCAGTACATCATACACGTAGCTTAAATGCTGTTGCCATGACCTAAACGTTTAGAGGTCAGCCGATGAACTAGGTTATACAAGAGAACACTAAGTCTTGGCTAACGTTAAGGACTTCTGTTCCAGTGGCTTGCAGAAACGTTTATAAAACATTTCAGTGATCCAGCGTGCAGTGTGCCGACACAGCCAAGTGTCACAAGCCATAGCGAGGGCGACATTCCACACACAAACCCCTCTCCATTTAACAGAGCATTTCTGTTTTCAAAAGTTTGAGGAACATCTTTGTTTTGGATAGTAACTCTGCCTGATTATGCTATAGGCCACTTAATTCTAGGGCACAGTTAAATAAAAGACCTGAACCTATTCAGCTGGTTACATTATCACTAATCACTAGTAATTACATGGCAGGATACCTGCTGAGGTAATTGAGAAGTCCACGAGTAGCATACTGTACACTTTTCACTCTTATTTCAAAAGCAAGTTACCTTTTACTTCTTTGGATTAACTTAAACTTCAGGGTCATTTACAACAAAAATTGAGACACAAATCGTCTTTCACACCAGTGTCTTAAAGGAGAGCGTACAGTGACACCAAGCGCCAGGCTCCCTCCTTGCTGTCACGTTGGAGCACTGCAACCACGCAAAGGAGCTGGCACGCGGCGCGCGCCCACCGCATCTCGTACCTGCGGGACGTTGTAGTGACGTCAGCTCTGCTCCAGCTCCCGGGGTAAAACACAGCTGTCACTTGCACATATTGCACACACATCTGGCACGGAGAAGATGCTCAGAGCAACACCGTGGCCTGTTAACACAAACCCCGTTGATTTGCTCTTGAACAGTTACACACCGTGCAGCACCAAGAGCTGTTTTGACTGAGCGAACCCTTACCAGTTCTACGATGAACGCTTACGGACCACAGGATCAGGAAATATATGAGCTGAGCTCATCTACCCTTTCAAATATTTTTGAATAGAACTTAGCTGATTTCAAAACACTCATTGAATGTTGTATCCGGAGTTCCAAAATGAAGGGGAGGGGGGAAGAGAACATTGTTTTGTTTCTTTTATAAAACAACAACAACAAAAAAAGAAACAGAAACACACAAGCTTTCTTGCGCGCAAGTCAAAATGCCAGGTAACACGATCCTCAGCCCTGATGAGCTGAATGGAAGGACCACTCTAGAAGTTCAGTGGGCTATGTGCAAGAGTAGAGCTTGAACTCTCATCAGGGTCAAAGCTTGGCATCACTTGTGGTTGGCAGGTGAGTGAGTGGGATACAGGCTAAGCCGCCAGCCTACAATGTTTGACAACTTGTCTACCTTGGCAGAAAAAAGCAGAGAGGCGCTCTCGGAACATTTAGAGGGCTGCTCTGGAGTCTGGTACCTGGGGTCTGGGTGGCAAACAGCCGGCACCCTTCTGAACCGCAGCTGTGAGGCATGGTCCTTGCCCCGCTGTGACCCAGCCCAGGATGCCATCAAGCTGGTCCTGTGCTCCATGTCAGGCAGTGGGGATCTGCAGGACTTGAATCCATGGCTGGTGCCTTACAAAGTGAACAGTTAAAAAGTTGAGGCCTGAAGGTATAGAACCTAGAGTGCTTATGAAAATAGTAATCCCAATTGAAGAGAATTCACAAAATCTCATTTTCATGATAAATTTAATAATATTCCTTTGCAAAGTGAAGCTGAGAAACTAGAAATGCATAAATAGGCAACACACTGAGCCATTAAATGATCCCTGGTTACTATTGGCGTCCTATTCACACGTGTGATCCTTTCTATGGGCAACGTTTCTGCTATTTATCAATTTAATGGGTTTAAGTAGAATTACTTTTCCTTTCCCATACAAACTGGTAAAAAATAAATTTAAACTGGCATTATGTTAGTATCTGAGAAATTAAAAGAAAACAGTTTAAGAGTAACATCTGCATAATCTAAAGAAGTGAGCTTGATGTTACAAATACCTTCAGTCCCCTCATTTATTATGAGAGGGAGAGTCACAATGCACATATACTGTGTTCTTATAAAAAGAAATGAAATCGCAAGTGGTTTGCATAAAAATTGCTGAGAGCGTATTTCAGTTTGATACATTGTGCTAAAATACTCATCTTTACCATTACTGTCAAGTGTATACAACGTCACAGGAATTGCTCATGTCAAATACACCAAAACCCCAGTGATTTACCACAGAACCGCTATATTCACACAAAATCTTATCGCAGATTTATAGACTTGACCTCATCCGATTACATGATTTCTTCATCTTACTTTAACAAGATCTGTATGAAGGCCAAAAATGACATTTATTATCTCTAGTGCTGATTTCTGTCAGTAAAGGAAACAACTACAATTAGTTCAAACCATAATTACTTTGCGATAACCTCATTTCTGACCAGAAATGCTGGAACGACAGCAGTGTGCAATGGGAAGGCACCACAGATGTGCCTGCCACGGGGTTGGAGAAATTGCTCTCTTTTCAACATTTGACCAAAAACCACTCAAAGCCAAATCCCGCTCTGTGCAAGTGCTTCGTTCGATGGATGGACACGTGACCCAATTGCAACAGATTTACTCCCATCTTTCTCGACATTTTGCTCATAAGCTGCTTCTGAAGGAAGTTTTGAGTAGTACTCCAATAAAAATAAGACAGAACCTCAAAATGAATGCAATGTTAGAAATAGCATATATTACAAATCTTTTCTTGATAGGAACAATTAATAAGAATACATATTAGCTTAAAAACAGTTCAGCAAATGTTGCTGATCTGCAAGAAATCTCAGTTCACTATTTACAAATAAGACAAAGTGAATACAGGAAATTTTACACATTTGGTAGTTAATAGGTTATTGTTTGCCGAGTGGTCTGTTAGAAACTGATATTTAGGAAGACTGGAAAAACACCCCGACCAGTTATTACCTCTTCAGTCTATATTTAAGTACAGAAAGTTAGACAATGAACACTGGAGATAACATTCTGCCTCATTAGGGGGATGAGGGGCAGGTGGCACAACGCTAAGACTTGAACGCCATTAAAATGTTCTGTGCACAGGATTCATAAGGAATACACCAGCCCTACTGAAAAGGGACTGTTGCCACCAGTGTAGTCTTTCAGCTGACAAGAACTCACACTCCTGCACTTGCCAATTCAGAACAGTTTAATGATTCTTTTTTCCTTTTGCTATACATAAAATGTAGTAAAGAAAGTCAAATTTAGATAATTGAATCAACACAGAAGATCAGTTATTCACAATACCACTTAAATGAGATGATAAAAGCAACACGCACTTAAGTTCACACGAAGAGGGGATTTCAGGAGCGTTGCTCACAGTTTACACTGCAGTCCAGCGTGAACACAAGGTACAGTAAGGGTATTGGTCCAGTCCTGCAGAGCATTTCACTAAGCAGCCTTATCTGTACACGGAATATCTCTTATCAAATCTGCTTCTCTTCAACATTCGTCCACCTCTATCTGTGAGACCAGGATGAGTGTGTCCCCTCCATCAGGAAAAGAAAGAATATAGCAAATAATCAAGGGAAAAAAGACCCAACCAGAAATTTACAATACATTTTTTCCCCCTTTGATGAGAATGCTTTTCTGTACAAGTGTTTTTTTGTAATCTAATACTGTTTAAAAAGCTATCAGCTTCTTCAAGATGACCACTGTAGGCATGATAATATTCCAGGAACACTTAAATAACAGTTTTTACAATAAATTTTAGGTCCATATCATTAGATTACTTTATATGCACTGGTCTCTCATCTGATTTTAGGCGTTTTCTACGTGGTTGTATAAAATCTTCATCGGAGTCCTCAGTTATTTCACCATCATCCTCCTCCTGTTCAAATTCAGGCAAAGGCTGGAAGGTCCTGTCTGGGTAGATCTCTGTAAGTTTATCTTCAAAGTATAATGCAACTGCTTTCCCTGCCTGCGCTACTTCTGAATCAGCCTGTAAATGAAAGAAGACAGGAATATTCACCTGTTGGAAATGCACATCCCTTCACCAAGTGTGCATGGTCTGAAACGCTTACCTTCAAATTAATCTCTTGTGTTTCTGCATAAACTTGAACAACTTTCATCATCTAAAAAGGATACCAGAGTCAAAAAAAATGAAATTATAATCCCTTCTAAAGTTACGAGATTGCATAGGTTTGGATGACTAAAGACAGCCATAACAACAAATCAGTTTGTTATGGACCACACCTCTTTAGCTCTCAAACTTAGCGGAAGCAGGTTTAAAACAGTCTTAGAAGGGTGACATGAGGTAAATAAACCTTCAACAAAACACACAACTTTCGTACAAATAAGTGTCTCCCAGTCATTTTCAGAACTGCGCTCTACTCATGACTGCTATCTTCGTTACAGATTTTGGTTGCCTGGACATTACTGTGAACAAGTCTCACTTTAGAGACAAGCGCTCTGTAAGATGACTGTCTTGGGGGTCTTACCCCACTTGGATTTCTACTCTTTAAAAGCATATGGCTTACAGGCAGTAGACATGATGCTATTAGGAGAGGTCAGAGTGACTCATCTTTCGCCATGAGCAGCATTTCAAACAGTGAGACAAGTCTGAAACACCCTTTTTTTTAAAAAACAAAAAACCAAACCAAACAACAAAACCAACAAGCACACACATCCATCAGTCCTTGCTCCCTTGCTTTACTCTTGTCCCTACGAGCTGCAGCATGTTTTCCTCTACAGTAGATGCTTCATTAATTCCCTTGATTGAGAAGTTCACATAATTGCAACTTCTTCCACAGTGCTCATTAACCTCCACCTAATACAGAGACATAAGGGAGTCGGGGGTGTCAAAGTCCCAAATGCTTGTGAGCATTTACAGCATTACATCATTAACCTTGATTTTTAATAGTGTACTTGTGAAACAGTTGAGATTTTAATTGTAGGCTTGTGTACTTCCTTCAATTTACTTCTTCACAGAGCCAGAAATGCAGCCCAAAACCTGCAAAACTCAGATTACTTTTATGGAAAAATACTGGCTGGTTTATGCATTTTTAAGGTCAGAAGAGAGCCATTCCCTGTGATGCCTTCTCCCCAGGTGTTATCACCATCCTTGGTTTAGAGCATCTGAGAAATGAGGATACCCTCTTATCTCAGCTCCTACTCTACTTCAGAACAATACCACCTTTTTTTTTGATATTCAGAGTATTTTGTCCATTGCTCCACCTAGTAATAGCACTTAAGCAATTTATCTCCTCAAGTCACGTTTCACGTGTAAGGTGTAAATATTTCATTATCAGATGGGTTCACTGCAAAATAAGTCAACTTTCGACATTCATAAAAAATATGACCCCACACAAAAATTATCTCCTGAAAACCAATTTTTGTGAGACCCCAACTACCCATGAGCTGAAGCACTAAGCTTAGTCCTAGCCATAACGAATACAATGCTTTTCTGGGCTCAGCCTGCACGAGGTACTAGAACCAGTACAATATTCTTCAGTAGGGCACTTTTCCACAGTGGAGGAAGTTTCCTCAGTAGAGGTCTACCACATTTCATGGGTGTAAGAACAGTTATCTGTACAGCCCGAGACAGTTTTAAGGACTGCTTGATTGTCTTTATTACCGCACTTCCTAAGCACTTCTACAATCCATTTCATGTACAAGGTCGCCTTGCTCCTCAGTCATGTATCTATACCAGTGAATGCACTTAAAAAATTTCCCTCTGTTAAAGCCTGATCTCCCCATTCAGCTAAAAGTGAGAGGCAGTTCTGTAATTGCATTTGTCTGATTCAGCATCAGCTCCATAAGCAGAAGTTACAACTGGAAGCAGAGCCTTTAATTGGAGAAGCTGCACAACCATGTTGAAATAAATCTTAATCTAAGAAAACGTATACAGATTGGAAGCTAACATACTTCATTAAACCTTTCACAGTTCTTGAAGATCAACCGGACGTCTGCCACAAAATCCTCAGGAGTCTGATAGTGTTGGGAATGCTTCTTTTGCAGTTTCTTTTTCACTGTAGATAAATCCATTGGTTTCTTTATAATTTTATAGTAGTTTGGTATCTGTAAAAAAACAAACAGTGATTTGTCACAATGACTACACAGTTCACAGAAGCAGTTGAATTTCTTCACTTATCAAAATATCAATCAGCTAATCCCATCATGCACTATATGCATGTTTAGCAAGTGAGAACAAAGTCCATTCCTCAAACTGTTTCAGAAGTTCTTTCCAGCCTTCAGTGTCTACCAGCACAGCAAGGCTTTTCATTATGGTTACTTCTTTTACAGCTGAAAATAGAAGAGTCAAAGCAGTTTCTTTCCTTCTTTCATTTAAAAGATTGTAAAAAATAATAAAAAAAAGCTCTCCTAAAGCATTTTGAATGTCATGTGTATCCCAAGACATCCTTTTCCAATTCAACAACTGCTAATTAAAGGTATTTTTACATATCTGGGTTTGAGACTCGGCGTAGAGCCTCTGCACAGAGAAGCTACCGAATCAGCTCGTGTGTGCCTCAGAATCATGAAATGCCAGATGATCGCCAGAACTTCTAGACTGGTCAAGGGGAGCACGCTTCAAGTAAAAGCAGGCAGTTCCTTCCTGAACTCTACTCCAGACTTTTAGAGATGTTACCCCAAAAACAAATCACAAACTATTTTTCAGGAGACTCACCGAGGCTGGGACTGGCTCTTGAAATTCAATGCTCAGCTCATGACAATACAGGTAAAGCAGGAGACGTTCACATTTCTTACAAAGAAATAAACAGCTTCACATTAATATCCTGAATTTATCTTCAGCCCCGAAGTTCATATCTCCCTATTTTAAATAGGTTTGTACTTTAGCAGCTTAGTACTAGAAATTTTAAATGCAATCCCCACAAGCTTAATTATAAAATGTAAAGTTCTTAGGAGGGCATTGTTGAGAAGGTAGAACACCGCCTTACTGTTCACATCACAGAAACATACCCCCTTTTTGCTTTCTTCTTCCTAAACAAAAGCCTAGGGCTAAAATCAAACATGAAGAGGCACGCTAATATATAGTCAAATTAAAAAAAAAAAAAAAAAAATTACAACTATAACTGCCTTTGCCAACCATAAGTGTGTGTAACAGGAAAGGACTGAGTTGCAAACTTTTATTCTTTTCTCAACAAGACAAAACTAAATGATTTGAAACCAAAGCCAGAGTGTTTCTCTGAATTCCCTGCTGAAATATTTTTCTTTCTTTTGCTTGTAATTCCTTTGGAGGAATTTGATTTGATAATACTCTAACACTTTATACACAGGCTGATAGATAAAGCTAAAAATAATTCTGACTGTCAAGGTCATGACACAAGAATGCACCTAAATACTCCCAGCACCTCTCACAGCATGAGCTTTACACACCAAACTTACCTAACTATTTCATGAAGGTTATATCAATGTCAAATGCAAAGAACTTTTAATTAACAACACTGAAAAGATTAATGCATGTTAAAGGATGCATTTAAATACAGAATATGTGTTTACATGCAAGCTTTAGCTACTAGGTGATTCCAGTCCCAATGTAAGGGAGCACTCCCACACAGTCACCAACACCTGGATACGCAGTCACAGCAAGAAAAATCTCATTATTCATTTCGGGTTTTTTTGCAAAAGCCACAACTATATTTAATTTGCTGCAGCCACAGCAAAAACATCTTCAATAAGCAGTGGGGAACAGCTAACGTGAGAAAGCTCTTTTTTCTAGGAAACAGACGCCCACATGTTTGAGACATACCCTTTGGTCCACAGGACTCAGGCCTTGTGCTGTTTTCCCTTTCTTGCTGTGTTGTGAATTGTCACAATCATACTCTACTTCTGGTTTGCTCAGATCTCTGCAGAATGTGCATATCCACTCTCCACTAAGCAGAAATAAACACAATTATTCCAGACATCCATGGACAAAGTCTCATCAGGGATGACTACAAAGATTTTTTTCATTAGCTCTTACAGGTTCACATTGTACTGTAGCAAAGACTTGGATATCCAAAGGTAAGGAATAACCCTTAACCCTCAGGATAATTCCGCCAGTCAAGGCCATTTTTCCTGCCTTCATATTCCTCTCCCAAGTATGTTCTAATACTTTAAATACCTTTCTCACCATGACTTTAAGAGGAACTTTACATAACAGCATCACACTTTGAAAGCTCATACGTTTATCAGATAAACATTGACCAGTTACACGCAAGACAATTCAGGCAGGCCTTTGAAACGACAGATTTTTTTACTGACAAGAAATCATCCCGAACGAGCTATATTGAGGATGTAACACCAGTTTTGGTACTGAAATCTACCATATGAATGAGACCACAGATCTGTTCTCAGGAACCGTTACACTTTTTCTGGTACCTTGGAAAGCTGAGGAGTGTTGGTACGTGGCAAGTAAGGTGAAACACCTTTGGGCACTTTTCACAACATAACAGATCCCCTCCGTTTTGGCATACAGCACACCAGTCTTCATTTGGATCATCATCTTTGTTATTGCCTTCTCCTCCAATTCTAGCTGATCGGTGCATTAGGCTCCTCACCGGGGATTTTCCATTTACAAGGTTATGTCCAGACTGTTTGCAACTCTCACTTAAATCTGCTGGTTCAGTTTTTACATGATTTTCAAGACTTCCTAATGCTTCTAATTCACTTTCCAGATGCAAGTTCGTGGACAGTGGTGGTGTCAAGCTGCTCTCAGGACTGCTAAGCTGAAATCAAAGTAGCACATGAAAATCAGAGTCCATTTTACACGGGCATCTTTCTTCATGTGTTGGAAGTCAAAAGCCATCTACCATTTAAAGGTACTATACTCAGTTCCCAAAATATATGGCAAATCATTATGAAGATCTGAGCTGCATACAGTATTGAAAACTACTTTTTCACAAGTCCATCCTTCTTCTGATCCATTCTACTGATATATAACAAGATAAACAAACCTTCAAGCCAAACACATGATAAATTGTTAAAAATATACCTTCACTACCATTAGGAAAACCCCTCAAATCCATCACCCTGCTCCCAGTACACAATCCTATTAAATCAAGCATAGCTGGGAATCACTGAAAAATACTCACTCGCATAAGTATTTTATTTATGCTCTGGCATAAGAACTTTTGATTGATTGGAAGATTTCTCAATGTAATTACATACGTACAAATGTTCAGGAACTACTAACAACGGGTGACTTACAGCTTTTATGAGGGATTAAAAACAGCAAACACACTACACTCTTGAGGGTATTTCATTTTAATAGCTAAGGATAAAATTTACATGACAGACTATCCTGTGTCTGGCAGAGCACATTATTAAAGGATATAACAAAGTCCTCAACACGGACCAAACTGAGATCAAGTTCTGTTTTCTATCGGACTGCTTTCAACACGCAATCACAATACATAAAACTGACAAGGGCTGGGTGTGGTTTGCATCCACATCACTAGGTCAAGTCCTGTACAAATCAGGAAGGGAAAACTCTGCCATCAATTAATTTTTACTTGTTCAACATAAGCCAGCAAACCACTGCCCAAGTCCCACTGCCAGCTTGTTGGTACCTATGTCACAAACCCCCGGTAATTAGCAGTCTTTGCAGTACTACAAGAACAGCTCAATGCTCGAGCTGGCCCACAGTTACAATTCAAACATACTGCTAGGGAGAAAAATAACTCTCAGTCTTCAGGGCTGTTAACAGAATATGAGGCTCAAGAGTAAAACTGTTTTATTATTTTCAAACTCTCAAACGTGCTGCTAGGAAAACCGTTAACATACTGTTGCACAAACTGACTTTACCATGCAAGCACTCCTTCTGCCATCCTCTGTTTTTTCCTGTTTTACTGTTCCTGAGAAACTGCATATCTCTTCCTCTGTCCCTGGCTCTTGCTTGACTTTCACTTGGTCAGACTTGAAGTTAATGCCAGTTTTCTCAGCAGTTCTGCCCGAGGAGCCACAGCTAGAAAAAGAGACCGACATATAAATAAAGATGAAAACTCATCAGAGCAAAGCAATTTAGGTGACCTTTTCCTGAACGATTTCAAAGGCAAAGCATGTCAGAAAAGTTACAAGATAGCTCAAATTTACAAGACAGCAGAGAATCACAGTGAAAGAAAAAAGAAAAAAAGAAGAAAAATCTACTTCACGTAAGCATTCTTCCATTGCTGGGCCACATTTACATCAAAGCCCTACTGACCCATTGCCATTTCATTTTCTGAGTTTTTCATGTCTGTTTTTTCAGCCTGACAGTGCTAAGGTAACGTACTCACCTTCCTCTGCTACCTGTGCTGGAGGTACTTGGTGGCCTCACAGGAGTGTGGGAGTTGGACAAACCTGCAAAGAAGTGTAGACGTTGACTTGGTACAAATTTACATTCTGCGGTAAAATAAATGACTACTGTTGAGTCACAGCAGAAATGCTGCTAGAATATCCTAATTTAATAATTCACGTAAGTCAGCTGCCCTCTCAGTCATTTATCAGAACAAAGGCCTGGCACACCACATGAAATGAATAAATAAACCCACCACAGACAACATACTGTTGTTAGTGTTCCAATAATTATTTCACCTAATCCAGACAGCGCTATAGCCCTCAGCCCATTAAGTCCTCAAATTTTATCCACTGACATCCACCAATAAAGTCAAGAAAAGCAGACTCTGCTTTGCATGCAGGTTTTGAGAAACATAGTAAGTCCCACTGCTGCAACTGTTCATTCACAGAATCTTATGATAATCTGGCAAAAATAAGACTACAAGAAACGCATATCAAATGACTGAAATCAGCTTCTTACCAAGAGAAATGGATATCTCCAATGATTAAATAACTCAACATTAAACACTGGTGACTTAATTTGTCCACATGCATTATTAAAGCTCTATCATCAATTGGCTATACTTAGACTGACCTCACTCAAATGACTGTTGGGTGTATTTCTGTGACTCAGCTACTCTATTAACTTAGTTCCCAAACCTCAGAATGGTCTAGCCAGTCATCATTTGGGGTAACAACTGAACTACATCCTCTGATGCACAAAAAAAGAAAAAAGGATTGTGGTAACACAGGATGAAAATAGAGTCTATACATGCATCTGGAACACTGCATCCAGGTGCTGGCAGTTTGTTACTATAAAGGTATTTCTGAAGGAGGGTAAAAGTTAAATTTCCAGAAGAATTGATTTCTGAGCAAAATAAATTTTAAACTAACAAAATATCACTTCCCTTTTGGCAGGAAATGGTAGGTAATTATTTTCAACTTAAAACACCCATCACTTTCTAGAATCACTAGAAATACCCATCACATTTACCTGATGACCCTGGAGATAGAGCTGAAGGTCCTGGGGAGGGATTCATGGTACTTGTAGGTTGTGGGGGTAGGTGGCTGCCTGTAATGTATCTACTTAGAAGGTTATCTAAATTACTTGAACCAGCATCTTCAAGCTAAGAAGCAAAAACAAAAGTCTGAATCAGAGAGGCCTAATGAAAGTTTCTCAATAGTTCCACATCTTTAAACTGTGGTCAGTGTCTCCACCAGAATTTTTCACTACCCCTTTAAGGATTCAGGACATCAGCAAACATTTTTGTCAGTCTTTCAAAACACACAGTCAGAAACTTAAAGTAAGATTCTTAAAAAGCTCCCAAATATCGGAGTTCTTCCAGTATGGTCATAGGCTGCACTTACTCTAGGTCATTCCAAACTTATTGGTTCCCAGACGTTCAGTGTGTTAGTCACGCAAACAGCGTTAGTCATAGGAGCTACCAGATTACTAATGTCAAGAGTTATTCCACAATTAAGGCATTAAGGGAAACCATGAACTTGTTTTCCCTTGGCACGATACGAAATCTCCCTCACTCCCATTCACTTTTTACACAGATTTCAGTATCTATTAAAAACAAGGAACTTAGTTATTGCTTTAACTGCTTAAAGCTATTAACTGCAAGACAGCATAATTACAAATAATATGTTTGAAACACGTTGTATTCAAAGTGGGTTTTTATAACTATGCAAGTATCTTGAAAGACTAATAACTTCCTATCCAACACTTATCAACTAAAATCCATAACAGCTACTGCATGAACAGATATAAAATGAGCATCTTAACAGAATTGTGCATCTTCAGTGCACCTAGACGTTGCCTGTTTATGTTTTAGACTATCCTACTAACAACTATTTCTAACTTGGTGTATCATAAACTTCAGACACGTACAGCTGAATCAGCCATAACCAGTTATACTTGTGTTTTGTTCTAACGACTGAACAAAGCTTCAGCATAGCGGATCGATCACGTTCAGAGATGTGATCCTTTTTTTCCCCACTAGTCTTACGTTAGGGAAATTACCTGCAGCCTCATGAGAAAACTGAATGTACAGCCTCGAATGTGACTCTGTAGATTAAGAGTTTAGAAGTTGCTATTGGTACTACAGCAGCCCATCTGCTTGGATGAAATTTAGGTTTTGTTTCTAAGGCAATTGGTTCCTGTATCGTGACTGAATCTTCCGTGCTTTACATGGGAATTTCAATGTAAACATCCTGTTCTCAAGATGAAGCCATCATCCTCCCCTCCCTGGCCTCCCAAACACTCCTGCAGAAAACATTAGTTTTTCTTTCTTTGCCTCCACTCGTACATTAAATTATGCTCTGACCTCACCAAATTAGCTTGACTTCATCAAAATCTACCTCAGCTTGTGTGCAGTACTACCCGCTGCCTCTCTGGGCAAAGCATCTAGGGCATGCTCTGCAGTTCCAAGTCAGCGAGTACCAACAGTGTGCAGGTGAAGTGGAAACCACAGAAGCAGCAACAGCCACGCTCTGTGCAAGCAAGAATTTCCAGGCAGACACTCCCACAGCCCAAGATTAATCATGGAGGCCAGCTTAAGTGTCCTGCAGCACCTTCCAGGAACCAACGCTAACTTAAAAGCTGGCCTCTTGCATACAAGGAGATGATTACAGCCACGCTACTGGGGTACAGAAGAACATGAGGAGACAGAAAAGTAGGGCAGTGGGACACCTTTCCTCTGTGCTTCCTGTATTTGACTGCTACATTTAGGAACATCACAGAGAAATGCCAGGCCACTTCAACTCTGAATAAATTCCCGTCCAGGGCATTCGACATACATAACTATTCAACTGTTCTAATGGTATCTTCCCATGCGATAGCCTTGTGGAAGAAAGGAAGAGAAAACAGTAGTACTTGAGATTAACTGATCTAAGTATCAATTTTACTATTGGACAGCCATTAAATACCGATTAATCTAAAGGCTAACATAGGTCAAGCAGGTCAGCCTTATATAGTGAAAATAGTTGCATGCCCAAGTCAAGGGCTGAAGATTTTAATTCTTTGACTTTAAATAACTGACTATGCCATTCTACAGACAAGTACCAATATTCAAATAAAAAAAATACCGAAAGGAAAGCAGATCATTACTTCACCCACAGCGTTAAGTGTTCTTCTCCACTGACCTGGATGGGTGGGATATCCGGCAGAGAAGGTAAATTCTCTGGGTTTGTTACAGAAGGAATGAGTTCGATTGCTGTAATGGACGGACTTGTTGGACCACGGTTTGCACTTGCCATTGTTGCTGTAGTAGGACTAGTTGGATTAATAGTGGTGTTGTGCACAGAAACAACTGGAAAAGGCCCCGCATGCCCAGGGTTAGAACCACCCAAACACTGCATGTAAAATTGCAACACATGCGTTATAGGATAGTCCTCAACAAAAAATTGGGGGGGAAAAACATAAGCTTACATTTCTATCAACATAACCTGATAGCACTGAATGCAAAGCAACGGTTATTTTTATATACTTGGAAAGGAAAAACACTATGTGGCTAGATATTTAAATATACAGCACATCTTCCACCAAATTATTTTCATATATAGTTATATTTTCTTACAGCAACTACTTCCTCCAAAGACAACTTTAGAGTCCATACCTGTGTCTATAAACTCTTTTTTTTTTTTTTTTTAAAAAAAAAGAAAAGAGTAACTGTTTCAGGTATCACAAAGTCATTTTTGGTTTTCCAGTCACATTAACATTTAATGTCTAGAATTTTTATTCTTAATGGTATGCAGAGCTTTGCATCATGCTTCAGGTTTAAATTTAAAAACACTTCAGAACTTGGTTTCATTAAAAACCCTCAACTGCATCACTTTGAACTTCCCTATTCCTTACTGTCCCCTAAGGAACCCAAAAGCTGAATGTCACTGAAGAGTGAAAATGTTTTGTTTCCCAGAACTAAAATGCAATACAAACATTAGAATTGATTTTCAATCTTAAGGTTTGCATTTTCTGCAAAAATGTCACAGTACAGTATGCAACATGAAAAAGCATATAAATGTGTGTAGCTCTGAGTTATGTGTTACAGATAAACACATTTACAGCTGGAGGTACCATCTACTGTAATGAGAGTTTGGCACAATGGCACAAATGAAGCGTGTACACAGGATATACTTGTCTTTGAAGGTGAGGTTGCATCATGGAGTATTGTGGTCCATTGTGGCGTGGTATTCCTGGTATACGAGCAGCATTCTGAGCCATTCTCATCTGATGTGCTTGGAAAGCCCCACAGTTCATGTTACCCCTCTGCATGGTCTGCATGCTGATCAACCTGGGAGGCTGCAAGGGTTTTTGTTTTTTAAAATTTTTGCTTTTAACATGGAAAAAAGAAGCCAATCTCTTTCCACAGTTTACTAGGTTTACTCGTTACACAACATCAAGAAAAGCCAATAGCCATCATGTTTAAAGTATGTCAAATTTCAAAAGATTTTCACATTTATAAACTGCTTTGTAAGTTTATATTTGATAGGGCAATTTTAAGTCTCGGTGTTATGGTCAAAGGTGAAATAAGCACATCCAAGATACTTACCTGCTGCTGTAAGATTTGTGGACTCGACTGCCTGGGAACTGACCCAGCTGGCTGCCCCATCCTCATCTGCTGCAGCTGCTGATGCTTTTGTGCATACACTTGCTGCTGCATATGCTGAAGTCGAAGCTGCGCTAGATTGATTTGTCCTGGGGCTTTGTTGACGTGGTTTGTTCCTGGAGGAGCTTGTCCAACCACTACATTAGGAGTGTAACTAGGAGTGGGTTTATTTTCAATGACAAGGTTACCTAAACAAAACAGAGAAAGAACTAGTAAACAGTTAAATCTCCATCATTACCCAAGGTTGGTAAATGCAGGATATTCAGATGTTTCTAATTCAGTTACCTCAGGGGCAGTAGCAAAGCAATTTAAGTTTGAAATTTTCTTTTTAAGTCTCCATGACCATACATGAGAGAAGGAAAAAGAAAGCTTGGACTACAAGAAGAAGAAATTGCAAAACTGAAATCATGACCTGTGCGTAAAGAGAGAAAGAACTGGAACTGCACAGCCTAAAAGACAAGACAGAGATGACTGTTCTCTGTGTTCACAACAGACAGACATGATGAAAAATAAAATAGGAAAAACCCCCACATGCTGAGGTTTCTGCACCTAAGGAAGCAAAGCCTGGGAAGAGATACCTGGGGAGCAGTGGAGAGCGCCTCATCGCTGAATGACTAAGACCAGGTTATACAAACATGACACAAAACACTGCCCCAAGCAAGTCCTGCCTTGATGCAATGTGATGGACCCCATTGCATCTCAGCTATCTCCAGTCCTACTTTTAAAGGGGAAAAGCAAAGTGTTGAATTTTCACTTTGAGCATGTACTCATTGGAATCTGCACATCACTTTTTATTGAGGTTGACAGCTTCTGTTCTGTTTCCTACATCGCTTCCCCCACCTGCCCTGGGTTCCTAGTCACACAACATTTGAAGCTGTGTTCTGGAAAGCCTTGCTTTTTCCTTCCTGGCTAATCTCCAAGAGTAACCGCACTCAACAATTGCTTGAGGAACTGCCCATGAAGGAATAGTTTTAATTTTAAACCGTTACTTACACAACTTACACAAAGTTTGTTTACTGTGCACGTAAACCTCCTGGACTAAAGACAGGAACACCAAAACCTGGCTTGCAGACTTACAGCACGAACCGAGTACACACAGAAGCATCAGGAAGAGCTGCTATTTTTACCAGATTTTCTGTTAGATTTTTATCCAACAGAGAAGTTCACAAGGAGGTCCAACAGATACCTCTGTCGCACTGTGCTCTCCCCACTCTAGCTCATCTCCCCTTTCACTCATTCAAAACCTGTTCTTTGAAAACTGATCAAGGCATTAACATGGAAGAAAAACTGTGACACTGCTGCAGGATAAGGCAATAATAAAGAGGCTAACATATTAAACACCTTACATCCTTAAAAGAGCACGTTATTACTGCATCTGACGACAGCCAGCAACGTGCAGTCACCATAACTGCAAATGTCCAGTGATCCCAGCTGCCACCAACCACTCGTGCAGAACACGAGCACTCCAAGCTCCCATCTCACCAAGCTCCAAGCACTCCAAGCTCCCATCTCACCAAGATGATTACAAACTCCCATGGCAGCTAATGCTTTAAGGCAAAGAAGGAATAAACAGCTGCACTGAGGAAAATTACTTAAGATATAAAAGGTTACAGCTATGGTCCTGTACCCTACCACGTGGCAGCAGCAAGCAACACACACGCAGGAACAGCAGTGTGTCTCCCGATATGAGGCTCTGTTCTTCTTTACCTTTATAAATGCATCAGATATCTTAGAATACAAAACATTGCTTCTTAATTCACTTACCTTTCTAGCCATCACATGGACTGGCTGGTACTTAGCCATGAATTTTGCTCATATCGACAGTCCTCCTAATTATGCTTGTTCATGCAACTTCCAACACACTAAATATGAAGTTCAGATAGGCAAAACTGGTTCTATTTTCTTGCCAAAAAAGCTTATTCCAGAGACTGAAGCACCCATCTAGCACTACTGTGTTATACCATAACCATCAGAACCACTTTAAGGAGGGGAAAAAAGGGCCATTCCTAGAACCATTCCCATTGGAAACCCAAACCTGTGGAGAAGGCTCTGCTAATAGAACAGAGCAGATATGGAGGGTAATAAGGACTGGATGGGTTACATCAAGAGAGTTTTGGTCTTCTGCATTAAGAGACTTATCGCACTCCAACTCAATCATGTTGGATGAACACCCCCAGCTCAATATAGTTCTTCAAGTAACAGAGAACAAACACGATTTTCTCACCTAAATTGACGACGTTCTTTGCCCAGAATGTAGGGTCACAATGGAAGCGTATTGCTCCATTGGCAGCTGGGACAGGATCACACCGTGCCTTTAAGATATGACGTAACTGGAATGTTATCTAATGGAAAGAAAAAACAAGACTGTTGATGACAATGAAATAAAGAATGAGAATGTTAAGAAGTGTGCATTTGCCCAGCGAGTTTAGACTGCTGGATCACCAACAAGCACTGTCAATAGCAAGTACGGTTTGCAGCCTGGAAAGTACTCAATTCACCAGGAAAATCAACCACTGTACAACTAATTTTTTTACTCAACTCAGAGGATTACAGAGAAGTCCTGTTACACAACAATACTACTTCTGCAATGACTCAAGTGAAACACTGAAGTGCCTTGACAGAGCTTGACCCCATTCCTTCTACAATAATACTGTTAAGTCCTTAATTTACAAAAAGTGGTGTACAAGTTGGGAAATTTATCCCACTGTTACAGAAGGGTTTTTTTGTTTTGGTTTTTAAATGAAGCATGACCAATTCATCAGCTATTCCTTGGATATAATCTAGTGAAGCTACATGATACTTAGAAAATTCTTTTGACTAAACATTCTCTGTGCTGTACAGACAAGTTGGAGGGTGCTTCCTTACCAGCCGTTTACTGTATAGCAAAGCAGTACTGCTGCCACTTGCAATAGCCCAATTAGTAAAGTTCATCACATGCTTCACTTGTCGTGAGAGACCACTGATGTCATTTTGTTGTTGTATTAACTTCATCTGTCTCTCCTTTGTTACATTCTACAAGGAAACAAAAACTTTATTACAATGGGGGCTTCAGATTTATGAGGAAAACATAAACCACCACCACAGTTCCTAAAGTAAAGGAAAAAAGTCACAAGCAAGGCAGCTGGGGGAGCAACCTAGACTGGAGCCCAACGGAAGTGCCAGCTCCATACTGGGTGGCGCCCTGGCACT